AAGATAAACTTTTCATTTTGGAACAGCTTATCTTCAAACTTTGTTTCCACGAAAACAAACAAGATAAAATATACCATTCCATAATAGTGAATCGTTCTTTCTCAGATCATTCTTCTATATAGAAACATGCTAGGTAAAGTAAAGTGATACAATGGAATCAAAAATTCGAAGAGTTTATTATGTGAGAATATACTAAGAAAAGAAAAAGGAAACGTATAGCGGTACATTACGCAAAACGATCGATAAAATGATTCTCAAGCTGCAAAATAATAAAGCAACAACTTGGAAATTTCATATTTTAAGTGTTTCCAATATAGAAAATTGATCTAGACACTTCTACAAAGTCTTCTTGTTTATCAATCCATGTTACTTTTAATTTTTAAATAAAGGCTCATGAAAAATTATAGTTTTTCTAAGGCATTTTCTAAAGAAATAACCGAGAAATCATTAAGATCTTGCAGAATTTAAGCGTATTATTATGTTAGAAGCTATCTAGCTGCTAATTAAAAATTTTTTCTTTCGTTTTTTTTGCTGTCGTCACATCTATATTCATCAATAATCAATCCATCACTAATTAATAGTAAAGCATAACTTTTTCATGAATAAACAATCAAGATTTTTCGTCTTTTACAACTTTTCCTACGAAAGAGATACAATTTTCTAGGCTTTGATTCAGAATTATTTTTTTATCTTTAGATAACTGCATATTTATTGTAGTCTTCATTGATCTATTTATTATTACAACTGCTTATATACGAACGATCAGTGAAAAATGTTATTTTTCTCTCTCTGTTTTAATGTTCATTTCAAACAACGAGCACCGATCGATAAAAGCAAACAGAAAAAATTCGATTCATTTGAAAGGAAGATGATCTATTATTTAGTAACATGTAATTCACCTTTTGATTTAACACAATTCAGAACATGTTAAACTGTAAACGAAAAAATAGAATAAAAAAAAGTGACTCTTTTCCAGCAATTTAGACGTTTGACAAATTTTCTTTCGAATAAACTGTTTATTTATTGTTTTTAATACGGTCTATTTCTTCTTCCATATCTTTCTCAGCTAAATGAGCATGACTACCAATTTCTTCAATTTCTTCACAATAACATAGAGTATTAGATCTCAAAAGTAAATTTCATGTTTTAAGATTTTCATACCATAACGAAAGTACTCACAAATTAGAATGTTAGAGATCTTTTTCTTTTTTGTCATGATTGGATATAGTTCATTAAGGGGACCCCCCCCCCCCCCTTTCCGGCGTTTCTAAGAAACGACCTAATGAAAATTCCTGAAACTTTCAGGGTAGATAGACCTCGAGTAGTAGAGCAAAAGTTGTCATAGACACAAATTTGCCAGACGTCGTCTTCGTGGACTTCCAGAGACCCCAAGGTCAAAAATTTGCAAAACGTTTTGCCCCCCCCCCGCAACTCTACAGATTTCATCCGTTTGAGCTGAAATTTTTACTGTGGGTAGACGGACCCAATCGGGGTGGACGTTTTTTTCTTTTTTCAAAAATTCCAAATACTTCAGGCTGGAGAACAAAAATACTGAGCACTTCGCAAAATCTCTAGGTTTTTTGGGTCCTAAAAATTTTACGAAGCCTGCCAAACTTGATTGGTAGAAGGTATCCAAAAAAAAACAAAACGTCCAACCCAAATCACTTGAAGTCTCACCAAAAAAATTTTCAGCCCGATCGGACTTGAAATGGCGGAGAAAAGGGGGCAAAACTGTTTTTTGATACCCAAAAAACTGGTTTCGAGAAAAATGCAACGAAATTTGTGATTTTTGGTTTTTTCAGCATATTTTGTGGTTTTTTTCGAGTTTTTGTATATATAAGATGTGGGTTTTCAGTTCTTAAAGTGTGCTCAACGGATAGAGGGCATTGAAATCTATATACTGATCACAAAAAATGAAAAACGAAAAATGTGAAAATTTTGAGTCGGGAAAGGGGGGGGTCCCCTTAAGGTGCACGAGAAGAAGCAATCTTTCAAATGCAAAATAGTTACCAATATTAAAATTCTACGTTTCTCTCTTAAGATATCTGAAAATAATGTTATCTTAGTTTTCTTCATCAAATGTTTGGTTTTTGCATTTGAAATATACTTTTTCTTATGTAACTTGGCGAGCTCTACTCAACTATAAGAAAAATAGAAAAAATTCTGCTAAAGTTTTGATTTGTGTGTATTTAATATACGGTGTAAAAATCCTGGAATTCAAGTATATTGATTTAAGCATGACAACAGAACCCTATAATTTTATTTTCTTAGCTTAATGATGAAAGTTGTAATGAGACCCTAATATATCTAACCATATTAACTAAAAATAGAAACACTTCCATCACTGGTCAAAAATTCAAAAACTAACTATTTTAATTCCTCATATGAAAATCTTTCCGGCATATGATAAAGTTATGTGTTAGACTTTTCCCACTTCTTCTGCTTGAATCATAGCTCTCTGAGATTAGACGTTGAATATTATTTGTCTTTTATTGTTGGCAATGATTGATCTATAACTTATTTTATTATTCTATTGATTACTTTTCGATTTAAAGTTTCCATAGAAATTCTTTCCATCAATCATGATCTGAAGAGATTGTCAAAAAAATCTTGTTTAATTATGTTCCTAGAGATTGTTGTTAGTGAATTACAATATGAACTCAGTCGAATTGGTCTTGTTACACAATCATTCTCAAATTTTGTCGAATAACAAGATATGATAAATGATCACAAGAGAAAGAGTAATGCTAGTGCATTTTGAGAGTCGATTTCGCTTCATTTTTCAGCATCAGTTTCTAGCCATCTATTTTTGTTTGTCTATATCTGCATGTATCACACCATAGATATGTACTAATTTCAGTCTGTCCTCTATATTCCCGTACGTAGATAAGATTTTCATCGTCAAACCATTCAATAAATGGGACAGGCAAAGCCAAAGCCCAAAAATTTTTGTTACAATTATTTACAAGAAGATCGTCAAACACTCATTAATCTATTATTTATGCAGGAAGTGAACTTATAGGAGGAAGAACCGATTCAGAAAATTAAAGAAAGCAGCAGAAGAATGTAGACAAATATTGATTGAATAGCAAATGCAACATTTTAGAGGAATGGAATATATATTATCTCAATTAACTGATGAGTTAAAGAAGATTCGTGAAGAAAATGAATTTGATGAATATCCATATAGATCGCTCAGGAAAAGAAATGAAATCAAACGAACTTAACAGAAGATTCAAATCCGATTGATTCTGTACATTTAGTAAACATCAGTTGCATCCATTTATTGTTTGGTAAGTGTAGTTATGACATATAGATTGGTAAATTAGTTTTGCAACAGGATCACGAAACTTTTTCAGGAGACTTGACTAAAAACTCAATATAGAGAACTACTGTGCTTTCATTCATCAACATTACAAAATCATATAGTATTAGTAATCTTTTACTAAAGAGATCATATGTTAACGGTACGATGCTTTCATTCGAATTTTTCTCCATAAAGTCTTTTTGAAAAATAAATTTTACTAGTTGATTTATTATTTTGACCTAAGATTACTTATATATGTTCTAATTTGCTAGAAAATAACTCGTTATCAATCGCATAAATGTAGAATATTATATAAACATTATTAGAACTGAAAGAGCAGTTATTGTTCACATATGAATCCTCGTTTTACACATAAATACTAAGGATTATTATTGATTGAATTCAAATAAAATATGTTTCGAATATTCTTTACTACTTGTACTTTTCCGTATATCTGTTTGCTGGCAAACATTTAAAGCAAGGATTGAAATCTAATTTGATTGTATGACTTTTCTTACAAGCAAGAGTCATACAAAATTAGTTTTGCTACAATTGAGTGACTCTAATGCCTACAAACTACAGCATGATGAATCAAAAAGTTTGTTTCTCCTTAAGTCTACTTTCACTAAGATCATCAAACATTAACAGATATCTCTGTAAGTCTGAGTGAGTCCCCATAAAATTATTTAGAGATCTTTGACTTGACTCTGACAGAAAAGTCACATAATACATATTCAATAGCATGAGTTGAATCATTCGTATCACTTGTTCACAACAGTCGTAATTAACTCTTTTCGAGAAACACTCATCGATACCATTAATATCTCTTCAATGCATAGTTTTCTTCCTTATTGTATAAATGGTAACGAAATGATTTTCTAAGAGCTTGTTCGAACCTCTGTGCTGCGCAAGTGTCAGTGAGGCATGCATCCAAGAGTAAACTCGCATTCCTATTCATGTCGATACTGTTAGTAATGACACACAAGCGATTTCAAATTTCTTTCTGTTATATCAATCATTAGGAACACAGTAAGGATAATGTTAATGCACACTTCAGTTGCAAAATCGCCATCGATTGGAGTTTCTATTAGTATAATTTTGCAGTTTATAAGGATCAAATAAAATTTTCTATTTTTCTTGAGACAATACAGTGATAGTTATGTGTTTTGATAGAGTGAGAATAATCGTTTATCAAGTGTGTAGTTTCAATACCTAAATATCTGAACATTTGTCAATATTTTAAAAAATTATGACATATTTAATGACATTGTTCGCCTGAGCTTTAAAGAAAATGACACTAGTAGCAAGACTGACCAAATGCGTCAAGAATTTTCTGAGCTACACGATGAACCTGATGAAGTTGATAATGAACGTTATGTTACTTTGAGTTCAGATGTTGAGAATCGTAGTATTGAATTGTTGTCGTCAAACAACAGAAACTATATACAAACTAAGACAACAAAGTTATACAATGCCTCGAGAAAAACAAAAAAGATCGTTATGATCTACATAGAACAATGCAATGTTTATTGGAGGTAGTCCTGTCGTATCTAGAAAGCGAATCAGTTCAGCTGCTCATCGTAAGATAAAACTAAATAAATATGAAAAATTTGCTTGTATTTGTCTTCAAGATACACGAAGTAAAAATAACGAACACAGTGCTGATTTGGTGTCGCCGCCAAATAATTGCAAATCATCGGTGTCTGACGAGTCTCGGACGAGTACAATGTTTCATCAATCATTATCTATATTTCTACATTGAAAAACAATTTGTTCAATGCAAATCATTGAGCTCCCTACAGAGGATAATTCATATCCGATGTTCATGGTAAGATAATTTTAAATAAGTAGGAAGAACCATAGTTTTTATTTAGCTGCTAGATAATCATAGTGTTCGTCTTGGAAATGGTAGCAAAAGTAAGTATATTCAGGTTATTTATATATAGTATGTGTTATATGTTTAGTCTTTCAGATAGTATGGCGATAGTTTCTATAATTCTGATGTCAAAAAAAAAATAACAACTGAGTAAGTATATATTTAGTTTTTGAAAAGAAAAATTCAATCATTCATATAGGTTTTTGATGATGTTTTCAATTAACGTAAATATATATAAGAATTAAGATAGAAAAATAATCGAAGTCATTTTTTCTATACCTGATGATCATCCAATTAAATATTTTCTTCCATTACCTTCATTGACAAATACAGATGATATATTTATTAAAGCAATAAGAAAGCATGAAGACTTTGGAAATATCCCTAGAATATAAATTTGTTATCTACCATTAGGTAATATAGTATTCTTTATTTTATTTTTAATGTTTAGTTCAACAATGACTTTTTTATATTTCATTAGACAAAGTCAAATCAATTGAATTAAATGAAGAAGCTAGTGTTGACACACAAATTGTATCAAATACTCGTCTTGCTCACTTTGAAGGTTTCAATAACGAGGTGATTTATTGGTTTTGTGCTCAAATTGGATGTGATAGATCAGTAAGTTTTATTTTTTAACGACTAGTCATCCTTTACTTAAATTTCATGCCGATGTATTATCTAATAGAGAACATCTGTCATCACCATTTTGCCTTATTATATCACCTACATGCCAACATGTTTTACAAACAGAAGATGAAGTAAGAAAAATCACATATCGAACTGCTGTGGTACAATGTAAGTTACTTCATAAACGTACAGCGAGAATATGTATTCTCGTCAAATGTCCGGGTAATTATTATTTGCACCTACATCGCATTGCTACTGATGGCCATGATTTGTTTACTGTATCGGATCGTCTTCAAGACATTGTGGGAAAAGTCCAAGTAAAATTATAATTCAGTGGATTGTATTCAAAGTTTTACAGGATTTCTTATTTCAGTTTCACTAAGTGACATGTCTCGTTATAGATGAAACTAACCGGTATGTAAAAACGACACCGATGGTGTTGAACCTAATTTTGATTACGTTTTTTTTTGTTTTTCTAAAGAATATTAGATACAAAATTGGAACTTGATATACGAAAATTAGCAAGTCTTGGTTTATCATTACAAGAAGAACATGTTCCATGGATATTTTTCGCAACATTTTCTAATCAATCACAACAATTAGCAAAACATGTCCTTTGTGAAGATTATGTTTTTTTTCTATGAGAGTGCAAATGTCGATGTAGCACATACAATCGAAGAAGTACCATTTACAAAGAAACAGGATCTGAACGTTGTTTGATTTTGTTGAAACACAGTGAGCAACTGATTCTATAGGTGCATTACTTTTACAAAAAAGTTTCATGAGTATAATAATCCATGAAAATCAAACACATTAACAACGAACTGAAACTGTAGAACAATTTACAAATGGTCTTATTGATTTTGTTGTTCAGTATGATTTACCGGATACAATTGATTTTCATATTCGTCGTATTGGTTGAACAAGTAGAAAGAATTATAAGAAAAACAAGAAAAAGGAGAAATAGTTTTGAAAGTTCCTTTTTTTTGCATAGGTCATGCTGGTTAATTGGCGAAATCCATATGATTTTTTGATTTCGATCGATAGTCTGACAGAAAAATTACTCTTGAACTTACACTAAAATTATGCCAAGTATATTTTTTTCTCTAAATCGAACATGAATTTTCAATTGATCTCTTTCAATAGGATGGCCAAGCAAGGTCAGAATTTCTTAAAAAAATATGGTGATGTGGGTACTATTGGATTTTATCATGATGACCATAGGTCGACGAATAGTAATGTAATACTATTAGTATGTGTGTGGGATAAGGCATACACCTACACTCCGACTCACACCCACCGTCTGTTGAGTAATTAAACTAAGAAGTATTTTTAATAGATTTTAGATCGAAATTGTTGCTAAAAATCTTGAGCGCGAGGAAAGATTTCTAAGGATCTTGTGTCATGTTCAATACGTCCTTCATATTTAGCCAATAGACATTAAAGCAAGGCTAAAATTTTGGATATATAGGTAGATTTTATATGCTCTTTTATATCATATTATCGAAAAGATGTAAAGCAAAATTTTTCAGAGGAAATGATTTCTCGATCGAGTAATAGATTGTCTCTTAAAATAACATTGAGAAATTTATGAAATTCTTATGAGCCATCCACAATAATCAATCG